CGATCCCCTTACAAATGTCATGGGTTCACTATTTATAGTAATTTTTGGTAGATACATTGGGATCTGTGTACTACTTTTTGGATAAAGTAGCTTTTGGTGGGCGGTTTGGAGCAGTGGGTCCCACATAAATGATGACGGATCTTGTGGAGCGTGATGGTTGTGCGTAGGCACCTTGTCACCTGCTTAAGGAGGTGACGATCTCGGTTTAAGTAGACCTCGGTAGGTGCTGACCACTTCGGTCTTCGGTAGCTCGGTCCGGTTCATCGCATGGACCGGTGTGGTGTTTAAAATCACGTCGGTTCAATGGTCATCTTTCTCTTAATACCTCTTAATGGTGTTTTACCGAATCGGATGATTACAAGCTACAATACATTGTTGGTATTGTTTTATCTACAACCTAACCAAACATAATAATTTCAATTGTGTTCCAAAATATATCAAGAGTGGTCTCTATTTATAGAGTATGAAAAAATACGAATTTTGGTATTTTTTATTTTATTTTTTAAAATAAAATAATATCAATAATTTGAGTTATACTTATCTTATCATATAAAATTTATAGTGGACCAATGAAAATAGGACAAGTGTTCCATTCCTATTGTATGAAAGTTAGATAATATGGAATCTCCAAAAAAATCTTCATTTAATCTTTTTATTTAGAATTTTTAATTTATTTTTTTTTCAAAATTTTCAAAATTGATTGGATGGCGCTCATATTTCAACTTTTTGCCAAAAATCTTTAGTTTCATTATATTGACTTTGGGCGGGAAATGAATTCTTTTTTTTTTTTTTGCTGATTTTCTTGATCTTTTTTTCAAATCAATAGCATTCCCTCTTTATATATTAATAGATAAACATAAAGATAAGAGCAATCACATAATAAAGACAAGCAATTCCATACAATTGAGGGCAAACACATAAAATAATAAAACGAGCACATAATAAAAAATAAATGCGAGCAAATAAATAAAATAAAATAGATACCAGCAACTAAAATAAAGCATAAAGTTCTCCAACTGGCATGGGACAAGAGATACCGTCAAGTCATTGTTGAGATTGATAGCTAGTGCGTATCGCAAATGGTGCTTAGCTCTGATGGTTCATTTAGCTCCAATCACTCATTAGTCCAGGGCATTCGACTTCTGTTGCAGCGGCAGTGGACCGTTCAAGTTCGACATATTCATAGGGAAGCCAACTTCGCAGCCGATCACTTGGCGAGCATGACGGCATCTTGCCCGATTGGGTTGCAGCATGACGGATAACTGCACCGCCTACGGGCCTGAACTCGTGGCTTGAGCATGATATCATTGAGGTTTCTCACCCTCGTAGAATCTTAGCTAATTAGGTTGGCCTCCTTCTTTGTACCGAAAAAAAAAAAATAAAGCATAAAGTTAATTACTAAACATTGTATATAGTCATTTTTATCATAAGTAAAAATGGAGTAATTCTTTTCTAAAAAAATCACAACTTTTGGGGTAAAAAATTATATTTTTTCAGAAAGTTGTGTTTCTATGATTTCCTTAATTAGAAATGCCATAATTTCATCTTATCTGTTACTCAACCTATGAGTAAGCAAAATTTATGTTCACTAAAAGGAGAAGTATTGTTTTGAAGAATGCAAACTGCAAATAACAAATGACTACATATTTTTATTGAACTCAATTTCAACATCTATCATGTTAAAAATTTCAAAACCATCAATCAATAATGTCATCAAATTCCCTTCTCCTGTGGATTTATTTTCTGATGATCACTTCTGCAATATTGTTTTGTTCCCAACTGAAGTACTTTTGCATGGCATGATGTCAATTAATCGAAACCGAGTGTCGGCTCCTAACCACGACGACCTTCTTGGATGCTTTCCGAGACCCAATAAGTATATACAAACCCGAGAATTCGCTTCCATTGAGACAATTAGGTGAACCACATGGTGCCAATGACAGTCCAACATGGTTGAATAATCAAAAGAACAATTAAGAGTTGGCTCAATGAAAACCTGCAGAAAGAAACTGACTGTGAAGTTGGCTCGAAGAACATAACCAAAAATTAATTCAATTCACAATTTTCTACTCTTATGGAACAATTACTAAGTGCCAATGACAATTTTCCATTGAGACAATTAGGTGAACCACATGGTGCCAATGACAGTCCAACATGGTTGAATAATCAAAAGAACAATTAAGAGTTGGCTCAATGAAAACCTGCAGAAAGAAACTGACTGTGAAGTTGGCTCGAAGAACATAACCAAAAATTAATTCAATTCAAAATTTTCTACTCTTATGGAACAATTACTAAGTGACTCATGACATCGTTTTGATATTTATTTTCTTCTTTTATTTTCCGGGGTACTCTTTTTCCCGGTCGGAGGTTTTTCCCACACGGGTTTTACTTCGATCGGGTTTTAATGAGGCCCCGCTTTGCGCCATCTGGCCGGCGAGTTGTGGCCAGAGTCCAGACCCTACTTGTATAAATAATTGCAAGGGGGAATGAAAATATTGTAACTTTTAGTTGTCGAGCGCCTGGACCGTTTTATTGCAAATTTGGCATGGCTGGATAGGTTCGGGCTTGGTCGGGTTCGGCTACTCCCAAGAATCCAATCTGACCACTCTCCACTGTTTGTTGACTGTTATGGGGCTAGGGCCGGGCCTATTGGGGAGAAAACTTCCAGGTTCTTGGCTGCGTGGATCCTCCACCCGGGTTTCCGGGACATTCTTAGCAACTCATGGCAACAGTCACTCTCCTTCGACGAGGCGACTTCGAAATTCACCGCTGCGGCAAGAGCATGGAATTTTCGGGTCTTTGGAAATATTTTTCAGAAGAAGAAGACCCTCCTCGCCCGAATAGCGGGGATACAGAGATGTCGCCGATTTTATTATAGCGAGAAGCTGGTGAGGCTAGAAAGACAGTTACGGGAGGAGTTGGACGATATTATCATGCATGAGGAGTTGTTACTAGTACAAAAATCCACCCGAGAGTGGGCCATGTTGGCCAACCGGAATACTACCTTCTACCACAGGCAGATAAAGCATAGGCGTCGCCGCGTCAAAATCGTCGAATTGGTTGATGCTGAGGGTAACTTGGTCACGGATCAACTGGCTCTTCGGACATTGGCCACTGATTTCTATAAACGCATTTATACAGCCGGACCGCCACCGGTTCGGCAAGGCGTGGTGCTCAACCTCTTTCTTGTTTGTGATGTAGAGACAATGACAAGCATGGAGAATGATTTCTCTGATGAGGAAATCTACACAGCCATTCGGTCTATGGGTTCTTTGAAGGCGCCAGGGATGGACGGCTTAAACGCCCCATTCTTTCAAAAAAACTGGGAAATAGTGGGCCCTACGGTGAGGGCCTTCCTGCGGCGAATGTGGAATGATGGGGTGGTCCCAGCCACTGTCAACCAAACCTTGATTACCCTTATCCCTAAAGTTGCGAATCCAGGCACGATTAAGCAATTCCGCCCCATTAGTCTGCTCAACGTCATCTACAAGATTTTTACAAAGATCTTGGTCAACCGAATGAAGTGTACTTTGCCGGACTTGATTCATCCAGCATAGGTGAGCTTTGTCCCAGACAGATATATTACGGACAATATAGTTGTCGCCCAGGAACTCATTCACTCTATGCGCACTAAGCATGGGGCCAAGGGCTTCATGGTGATTAAAGTGGACCTTGAAAAAGCTTATGATAATCTACGTTGGGATTTTATTGACGAGACCTTGCCTAACAAGCTAGTGAAGGTTGTTATGGATTGTCTCCACTCGGCTTCGATGAACCTACTGTGGAATGAGACGAGTGGCGATGCTTTCTTCCCCACCCAAGGGGTCCGACAGGGTGACCCTATCTCCCCGTACCTCTTTGTCCTATGCATGGACAGATTGGCATAGCTTATTTGCCAGGCGGTCGACGAGCACTTGTGGCGACTGATCTCGGTTGGTCGGGGTGCCGTTGATGTTCCTTTCTTAATGCTTGCCGATGATCTTCTCCTATTGTTAGAAGCGACGGATGACCAAGTGAATATTTTGTAGCATACTCTCCAGCGGTTTTGCGACTCTTCTGGACTTGAGGTTAGCTCGGAGAAAACCTTACTCTTCTTTTCTACTAATGTTGAGATCGCGCAGCAACATAGGTTGGCGGACCAACTTAATTTTAAATGGACGGAGGACCTAGGGACCTATCTTGGTGTACCCATTATCCACGGTTGGGTCACCAATGGCACGTACTCGCACTTAGTTGATCGGACGGAGGCGAGACTAACCGGGTGGCGAATGAAATCCTTATCGTTGGTCGGGGGACTGACTCTTACTCAGTCGGCTCTTAGTACGCTTCCATTCTATTCAATGCAAACGACCTTGATCCCATGTTCGATTAAAGACGCTATTGAACGTCGTAGTCGGGCCTTTGTATGGGGCGGCTCGGATGATAAACGCAAGGTCCACTTGGTCTCTTGGGCGGAGGTTTGCCAACCCAAAGAATTTGGCGGTCTTGGCATTAAAAGCTTACGCCACATGAACGATGCT